GTTTTATCGCGTTTAACCACAGCTGTCGTCGTTTTTTTGTCTGGCAGTGGCAGCAGATATGCGATCAAATTTCTAATTTGAGGCTGTATTACATCGATTCTGGCACCCAACATCACAACAAGATGATATTTTAAGTAGGGATGGGCGTATCGATCCGAAGTATCGATATATCGATACTGACGCGAGTATCGAACGTATCGATACTCAAACAAAAGTATCGATACTAAGGTGCATTTTATTTACCAGTGGTTTTGTTTATTTAACAAAAATGATGATAATAATAATGCGTACAATATGCATTGAATTGGACGAATAACCTTTGTTAGCGAGTAATTGTGTAGGATAGAACTATTTTCCTGCTCATCTGAATACACGCAAATGTTGCAAGACAGAACCAATCAATCACAGAGAGCATTCACTCACTGCTGACAGTGCATTCAAACAGGGCTGCGTTTCCCAAAAGTATCATAAGAAAGCATTAAAGCTTTTGGGAATGGCAGCCCTGAACAATGCTTATCAGAGGACAGAAAAATAAACATAAATGTTTGAGTTATTTCACAGTAAACAAATTGAAATTGTAGCCTACATAGTTTGTGCAATTACAATTATTTAAATTGAACGTTGAAAGATAAAATTGATTATGTTCTATTCTGTATTGTTAATTGAAATCATACACTGTCAGAATAAAAAGGTTGCATTTTATGCATGCAACAGCCATTCACTGGCAGTCCCTAATGGCAGTATAAATATTGCACTAAATCAAAAGTTCAAATGTTACAAATAAGTTGGAATATTAATGTTGTAATACTGGTAGCACTAATATAAAAATGTGATGATATATGTTACAAAAAAGTAACAATTTTGAAATGCGTTGATGGTTGAATTTCTTTTGGTTTTTATCTCAGTGTTCCTATCAATGCTGCATAAAGCTTTTTTTTTTATGCATAATAATAATAACCCTAGAATGTGATCAAACAGTTTAAAATAGCTGGGCTAAGATATATAACAATTTTTAAGACTGCAGAAATATGTTAATTCAGTACTCACCTTATCCCACCGGTCACAATTGTGACCGACCATAAAACACAATTTTTCACACACTTTTCCAAAAAAATTTCAAAAAATAATTACTGATTTTTTTCAAAGGGTTACTAATGACACATCATTTGGATATTTTCATGTCTGGGAAAAATTTGGGATTAAACGGGTTAATGTGAAATAAAAATGGGTAAAGGCCTACTTTCTATATATCACTTGAAGGTTTCCCACACATTTTACCAAAGAATTCCCACAAATTGTTATGATTTTTCCAGTAATTCGTCATTTCTGAATAAGAATTTAAACACTTACTAGATTTAATGTCTAGTTACTAGATAAAGCAGAACATAACTAGAAAAAAAAATACACCTCAACTGTGACTTTAGAAGTTAATTAATTCCCATTACTTTGGAAATCAAAATTCAGCAAATCCCTGTAGTTCAAATGAAGTGAACAACAGCATCATTTAACTCTGGATGTCTGTAACAAGAAATGCATTCAACCATCTCACACAAATTGGTCTCACTGAGATTTAATATTATATTTTGATACATGGAAATTTGGTACAAACAATTGTTGACAGGCAAAGAAAAAATTGTTTGGGATTGCTTCTGAAAAGCAATACTAGGCGAAAGTAAACTTTACTTCATAAGGCCTCCAATTCATTACAGTATATGAAGAGCAAGTGGCTTTCTTTAAGCTATAGCAGTAATAATGTTTTGCCAGTTTTGCTCTAATTGCATCTCAGAAAAAAAAAGGATAATACAATTTGATTTTGCTTGTTGATGTTACACAATGTATAGACGTCATTCCAGGAGAAAACAC